GTATGTGGCTGGTGCCTTAGCAACTTGAGCCACAGGCGCCGAGCCTTAGGTTTGTTTTTTGCTCTATTATACTCTTTTGAAATACACAAGCAGTTGAAAAAGGCTTGGGCCATTCTCAAGCTATTTGTTTTAGAAATTGAAGTAGACTTTACGTAGGAATGAAAAGCATAGAACTTAAGTATATAGTTGGGTGAATTTTGACTGGTATATTATGCCGAGAAACAGGGAATATTTCTATCACCCCTGGAAGATGCCTCACGCTCCTTCCCACTCACCCCCTGCTCTACCCAGGGGCAACCACCATTCCATTTCCTCCTTCATAGATTAGTTTTCCTGTTCTCTGGCTCCATACAACTGGAAGCATTCAGTGTGCACATTTGGGGGTCTACCCCTTTTTCTCAGCATATTATTTTTGAGATTTATGTTGTGCTTATCAGTAGTTTGTTTTCTCTTATTATTAAATAGTTTTTATCATCTGACTACCCTGTGATGTTTATCCATTTGCTTTCTGATGGATATTTGGGCTATTTCCATTTGGAGCGATTGTGTTTAACAGTGCCGTGATGAAGTCCTTGCACACATCTTTGTGTGGACCTGTGACCTGATTTACTTTTGACAACAAGTAGGAGTACAAGTTCTAGGTCATAAGAAAGGTCTGATTAACTTTATAAGAAACTAGCAGACCAACCTCCAAAGTGGTTTGCCATTTTATATTCCCACTGGCCGTGTATGAAAGTTCCAGGGGCTCCATATTCTTCCCAACATTTAGTGGTGTCAGTCTGTATAATTTAAGCAAGTTGATGAAGTCTATTTTATCTTTTACAGTCGGGGCCTTTTTTTAAAAATTTATTTTTTATTGTAGGGGTACACACATTTAGATTACATAATTTGCATTTGTACATTTGAAATTGATGTTGTAAGTGTGCCCTTCACCCAGAATACGTGCATTGCACCTGTTGGGTGTGAATTTTCCCAGCCCTTCCTCCTCTCTCCCCCCTCCAAAATTTCCACCGAGTCCTATTGCCAGGTGATGCCTTTTAGATACTATCCAAGAAGGATTTGCCTATTCAAGGTCATCAATATCCTGCTTCATTTGTTTTATAAAAGCTTTATAGTTTTAGATTTTGGCAAACCTAAACCGAAACCAAATTGGATTTGGTCGAGGTGCTGCACTCGAGGATCTGTGCATGTGGCCTTGAGGCCACAGGTTTTGCACCTGTGAATTGATCAGGCTTCATTTTTTCCCATATACTTAGCTAATCGGTCTTGCACTATTTGTTAAAAGGAATTTCCTTTCCATCGGGAATTACTTTAGGGCTTTCGTTGAAAATGAATTGGCCAAATAGGTGTGGATCAATTTCCAGACTTTCTATGCCAGTCTTATGTAGAAAGTCATGAAATCAGCATGATTTCTTTTGTTTGAGGCTGACTCTCCCTTTGTTGCCCAGGCTGGTCTCAAACTCCTTGGCTCAAGTAATCTTCCCATCTTAGTCTTGCAAGTAGAGGGACTGTAGACCTATGCCACCATACCCAGCTTGATCTTCATCCTTTGCGTTTAAGACTGTTTTGACTCATCTAGATCCTCTGCCTTTTCATATAAATTTTACAATCGGCTTGCTAATTTCCCGGTAAAAGTGCTGGAATTTTACTTTGTTCAACATTTATTTATTTGCAGTTTTTGGCTGGGGCCAGGTTTGAAGCCACCACCTCCAGTATATGGGGTTGGCGCCCTACTCTTTGAGCCACAGGCACTGCCCTATTTATTTTATTATTATCAATTTTTTGAGACAGAACCTCACTCTGTTGCTCTGGGGTTGAGTGCTGTTGCATCGTCAAAGCTCACAGCAACCTCAAATGCTTAGGCTCAAGCAGTCCTCCTGGCTCAGCTTCCCAAGTAGCTGGGACTACAGGTGCCTGCCATCATGCCCAGCTAATTTTGTTTCTATTTTAGGGGTCTCTTGCTCAGGTTGGGCCTCCAACTCCTGAGCTTAACCAATCTGCACGTCTTGGCCTCCCGGAGTGCCAAGGTGCCCATTCGAAAGGGCTGGAATTTTAATCTGATTTTGGTGTGTACTTGATGAGAATGTATATCCTTTTGTTGTTCAAAGTAGTGTTCCATAAATGATCATTAGCAAGCTGATAGTGTTCTTTAAATCTTCTATTTCCTAAGTGACTTAGGGTCTCTTATGTTCTATCAATTATTGTTAGATGGCTGAGGAGCAGCTATCCTGCCAGTCTCTGCTTTAGCCAATTACTTCCCTTAACTAGGTGCCAAAGTTGATGAAAGATAGTTTCTGTGATATGTTGCCTCCCAAGTTCCTTGGAATGTTCTATTAGGTCCAAGACTTCTCCTCTTCTCATCCTAAAGTCTAGAAAAAAGGGGCGGAGAGAGAAGAGAAGAAAGAGGTTGAAGCAGGTCTTGCCTACTACCAGCCTGTGCTCAGACAATGCCCAGCTCATGGTTTTCTGGACATCGTCTTGGGGCAGGCTTAGAAGACATGGCCACATGCTTCTGGGCAGCGTCATCTGGAAACCTGTCATGTCAATGTGGACAGGCATCTTGAACCGATATGAGCCACATATGGTCTGGGCTCAGGGGTGGAGACAGGAGAGAGGAGGGAAAGGTCACAGGGACTGGGAGTGCCCACCTCCCTCTCGCCCAGTCCCACCCTTTCCCCTGCACCCTGCCTTTCTCTGGCTCCAGAACCACTTCCTGTTGCTCCTAGAACCTCCCCATTTGAATAACTGCCAGCTTGCTTTAGTTTCTATTTCCTTGAAAATTGTCCCTGCACAAAGGACTGCCTGGCTGGTGAGAGAGGCAGCGGTGGAGAGATGGCTGTCAGCGGTGCCCAGCCTCCCTACTTGAGCCCAGTGAGTTCCAGGGTTTCGGGAGAGGGGCTGAGCTGTCTGCCACAGCCAGAGGGGAAGTAGCCCTCGGATTCTGAGGAATCGCATGCTGGGTGGCAGGGATGTGGTTGGGGGCATCGCAAAGAGACCACAAAAGGGAAAGAAATGCCACATGGGGAAATCCTGATGCACCTTCTCTGCCATGCCGAGTTGGCCCAGACTGGATGTTAATCACCATGATTCTCGGGGTTCACAAATGTTTATTGATCTGTCCTGTCCTGTTGGGGGGAGGGAGGGTCAGTATGAGCGCTGTCAGGCATGGCCACCCTGCAGCCCGCTGATTTTGCGAGGACTATTTTTGCTCATCTGTTGTGTCAAATATCACGAAAAGTATGCAGGGACCTTTTTTTATTTGCTAATCGGATTTCCTTAGCGTCTGTGTATTTAATGTGTGGCCTAAAACAATTTTTTATTCTTCCAAAATGTGGCAGAGAAAAAAAAAAAAAGACAGGTGGGACATGCCTGGTATAGTGTGATGGGTCACGCAAAGAGAAGTAAGCAAGCTTCTGCTGGGTAACAGCCCCGTGTGGCAGCTAAGGGCTGCACTTAGGGACAGCTCCAGAGATTTGCAACACTTACTAGCTGGGTGGCCTGAGACAAGTTACTTTCCCTTCTCCGGCCTCGGTGCCCACAGTTGTAAAAGGAGAGTAGTACTTGTGCCACTTCCCAAAGTTGGGGTAGCATCAAGAGCAGAGCACATCGAGCGGGTTAGAGCAGGGCCCAGTGCAAAGGAGATGCGTTCAGTGTGTTTAGCGTTGGGAGGCCGGGGGCAGCTCTCTGTGCACCTTGGGCTCAATCAGAGCTAACAAGGCACGGGCACGGCCAGGGTGCCTGCAGAGGGACAGTCTCAGAAGGCAGAGGGGAGTGGCCCCATCTCTGCAGTGTGGGGGCACTTGGATCTGCGTGAAGATGGCCTTGTTAGACCTTGTGAGGTTTGTAATCCCACGTCCTGTACTGACAGCTGAGGCTGAGGGAGGCAGGAGACGAAGGATCAGGGAGCCTGCCCTCCAGCCCACAGGGCTCTCCTGAGCTGAGCAAATCAACTGGAACTTAGGTGACCCAGTGACCTCTGGTAGTAGAGCCATACTTCCTCCAAATGCTGACCGTGGGGGAAGGTCAGCAGCCTGCTGTTTTGCTAGGGAGCTGCACACTCCATGCGGGCCTGTCCAGCCCTCTCTAGCCCAGCCTCCCTGGAGGGCCAGGAGGGAAGCCAGGACCACACACAGGAATGGACCTGTTGTGTGGCCAGGGAAGACTGGTGAGCCAGGAACCAGGAGGTTCTGTGCTTCGCTTATGAGAGGCACCCTGGGTGGTGGTTAAAACATGGATTCTAGCTCTGTTAGCTCAAACCCTAGCTCTGTTGTTGACCAGCTGTGTGGCTTTGGGCAAGTTACTGAAGTTATCTGTGCCTCAGTCTCTTTATCTATAATAGTGGCACTGAGGATGGCCAGGGTCATTGCAAGGCTAAATGAGGTAACAGAGGCCTGGAAGGTCAGCTACCTCAGAACCGCCTCCTCTGGTTAGCAGCCTCAGCCTGGCAGGCTGAGCTCCTTGCTGCAAAGGCTGGGGTGGGCGCCCTCTGGTGACACCTACTCCAGAAGGAGGAGGCTGTCCCACACTCTGGCCTGTGTGTGGCAGAAGAGGAGGGCAAAGTCCGAAGCCTCTGGGCAGGACCAGGAGCAGAGAGCAAGTTCTCACCCAGTTGAGGGATAGATAGCTTCACTGATGCAAACAGCTGCATTGCCGAGGCCATAGTCAGCCAGGGCCTTTCCACAGGGCATCTCAAGGAAAGCTCTCCAGACCACTGCCAAGCTGGTATTGTCATCCCACTGTTCTCAGGAGGGAACCAGGGCACTGCCAGGTCAAGTGACTCGGCCAACATCAGACTGCTAGCACATGGAGCTCGGAGGCGAGCCCAGGCCTGTGAGACCCCAAATCAGTGCAAAAATCCATCCTCCTGTGCCACGTGGAGCAAAAACAGGTCCTTTCCCCCATGTCTCCTGTTAAGGTCCCTCTCTACCTAACACAGGGATCCAGATTCCACAGCAGCCCTCGCTGGCTACTCTTTGTCCATGGAAAAGAACCCAAACTCTATAAAATGATCACAAAAACTTTATTCTGAGCCCAATGGGTGCAACCATGGCCCAGGGAACTATACCCAAGAATTCTTGAGCAACTGGACTCCTCATGGTTGGGTTACAATTTGGTTTTATATGTTTTAAGGAGATGAGAATTGTAAAGTTATAAATCAGGGCATGGAAGGAGGACTTTGATTTGGCCCTGGAAGGCAGGATGTCTGGGAGTAGAGACTCTGATTTGTAATTGGTTAACAGAATAAAGATTTCTTTAAAGGCGTGAAATGGTTAAAAAAGGAAATGTGTTTTCTTTTTTTTGAGACAGAGCCTCAAGCTGTCCCCCTGGGTAGAGTGCTATGGCTTCACTGCTCACAGCAACCTCCAATTCCTGGGCTCAAGCAAGTCTCCTGCCTCTGCCTCCCAAGTAGCTGGGACCACAGGCGCCCACCACAACGCCCTGCTATTTTTTGGTTGCAGACATCATTGTTGTTTGGCGAGTCTGGGCTGGATTCAAACCCGCCCCCTTAGGTGTATGTGGCTGGCGCCTTAGCCACTTGAGCCACAGGCGCCGAGCCAAGGCATTCTTTCTTTAAAAGATGCCCCTCAAATTTGTCATCGTAAGGGCCCACGAAACTGGGATGTTCTTTGAAAATGCAGATTTGTAGCCCCATCTCCCAAATGACCATATCTTGGAGGCTCTTGGTTCACCAAAGTTGGCTAAATGTTTCTTCTCTACCCCCTGAGGCTGGCCAGTTTGTTAGGGCCAGTCACTGAAGTGGTAATATCTGCCATTATCTACTCCTCCCCTTTTCTGGTACCAGCTGATGCCCAGAGGAGGGTTTCCTGAGCTCTCTGAATAATTTCGATCCCTTCTCTTTAGGCCAAAGCCTGCACTACCAAGCCCTACTGACAAGAGTTCAGCTTGGGGGGGAAGGAATCTGGGGAACAGCCTGCACCCTCAACTCTGCTCTCTTCCCATCCTTCCTGTGCCTCATAAGGGGTTCACGCTCCTTCTTCTTCCAAGCCAAGCCCCCTCCCTCCTCCTCACCCCCTCCAGAGAAGCATTATCACCTGATTAGTGTAGATTCCTGCCTGTGGAAAAGGGGGCCTGGAGCATCTGCCACTGTGCAGGAAGGGCAGCCTGGGCTGCAGGTGGGGCCCAAACACTGGGTTTCCCAGACGTGTTCCCAGAGAGCCTGGCTGCCTTATTTTTTTTGAGACAGAGTTTCACTGTGTCACCCTGAGTAGAGTGCTGTGGCATCACAGCTCACAGCAACCTCCAACTCTTAGGCTTAAGCGATTCTCTTGCCTCAGCCTCCCAAGTAGCTGGGACTACAGGCGCCCGCCATAAGGTCCAGCTATTTTTTTTGTTGTTGCAGTTGGCATTGTTGTTTAGCTGACCTGGGCCGGGCTTGAACCCGCCAACCTGGGTGTAGGTGGCCGGTGTCCTACCCACTGAGCTATGGCCACCGCCCACCTGGCTGCCTTTTGATTTACACCATACACGAGCAGAGTAAGAACCCACATGAGGCCTTGCCAAGAAGAGGTGATGAGAAATGGGGGTAAGAGCTGGAAGGGGGGTTGCATCAGGAAGGCAGTGCCAAGGTCCTGCTGATGGAGGACGTTCTCTGCAGAGCATGTCCATGCTCCCCGCTGAGCATCTCAGGACAAGGAGAGGGTCAGCGGGGATGCTGGAGGGGCCTATCCAGCTGGGAAGTGGTCCTGGGGCTCCCTGTTGCACTCCCGGTGATGCGGCCTCAGTCCTCGCTGTCCCTCCTGCTGATGTGCAGCAAGCCCTCTTTTTCTGTTTTTGTTTGTTTTTCATTTTTATTTTAGGTTTGTTTTTCTTTTATTTTTCTTTTCTTTTCTTTTCTTTTTTTTTTTTT